ATTGAAACTTGAACTCAAAAGAGCTTGAACTCAAAAAAAAATTTAGAAGCTCGATTGAAGCCTAAAATTCGAACTTGATTGAAGTGAAAGAATAGTTCACTCAATGCTCACCAAAAGGCTCCATGATTTTGAATGTCAAATTACCTCTATTATTTATAGAAGTTAGTTGTGATGCGCTTCTATGTTTCTTAGCAATGTGAGATTGTTTTGTTCTCATATTTTTTCTCTTTAGACTTTTGGGATGCTCTTCTATGTTTCTTAGCCATGTGATATTATTTTTTTTTAAAAAAAAAAAAAACCAAACAATATCATTTTGTTATGATTTTTTAACCCAAAATTTATTTTTTAATTATAATTATATAATTATATTTATTATTTAATATATTTTACCTTAAATATTATGTTGTAGTTAATTTGAATCATTTTGTTTCACTTGATTTTATGGTTTTTAACTTATATATATTATGACTTGCTTTGAATATGACTTGTGATATAAAAAATTATTTTTTATTAAATATTTTTAGTATTTTTATTTAATTTTTTAAATAATTATGGCGTCATCCGGTTCTTCCGATCAGTCAAACCGATTCGATCGGTTGAACCAATAAACCAATAACATGACCAGTTCACTAACCGATCCGATTTTAAAAACCATGAAAATTTAATTTTAAACCCCTAAAATTTTCAAATAAATAATTTGGCCCCACATAATTTTTAGAAATTCATATTAAACTTTAAAATTTTTAATGTTCTTAATTAAACCCTTACCATAATTTTTTAGAAATTCTAAATATGTAATTTGAATTCTTCAAAAAAAAAAATTAAAGTTTTAAGTTGTCCTCAAACTCCATTACCATGTTCCGCCACTGACGTTTAACATAAAATTCTGTATACCTGATTATTACTACTTTGAGGTTTCCAAGCATGGCCAAAACAAACACCCTTGCACTTCAAGTTTCATGGTCATTGTCTCTTCCTTTCAAGTTTCACCCAATGCCTTTTTCAACATATTGTTTGACGCAATTCATCGTATAAGCATAACATTTGCATTGCTTTCTCGTTAAAAATGAAAATAGCCCATACTGCTATCCATTTTCATTATTGCTGTGGCCGAAAAAACCACTACTTTCGGCTACTTCTGCCATCATTCTCTACAAGCAAAACTGCACTCTCACGTGAGCCCCGTTTCTGTGTAAGAAAATGACTTACTGTTATCGTCCTAGATATTATAGGGCTGATTGGTTCAAGGAATTTGGGATTTCAATGGGAATAGAATCCACATTCTCATGTTTGATTGGTCGGGAATCTCATTCCCTTTATTACTAATAGTAGTTTTTTTGGGTATATTACCGGAAATTCTATTATCTCTCTTTCTTTAGGTATTGTTGGATTACCGGTATTTTAGACTAAAATACCCCTAATTTTTTTTCCAAAAATATCATTCTTACGTCATTTAATAATAAAAATTCTACGAATGTTAAATTACAAATTTATCCTTAAACTATTTTAGATTTACAAAAAAAATCTATAATTAAAATTTTATATGAAGTTCAGGGGTTAAAATAAAATTTTACCCTTTCATTAAACCTTTTTATATTTTCAATTTTTTAAATATATATATATATATATATATAAATTTTATGAATTTAAATATTTTAAATAAAATATATAAATATTTTCTAACTTGTTAAAAAAACAAATATATAATAAGGATAATTTGGTCAAATATGCATTCCAATAATCTTTTATTCATTTAACCAAACACGGTAATCTTACATTCCTGCTAAACCAACCAAACACAAAATACAATATTCTCAGTAATCCTATTCCCTGGTAATCTTACATTCTCACCGATAATCTTATATTTCGTGAACTAAACACACCCTATAAGCTATGTAGGCAGGCATGTGGGTGACGATATATATATATATATATCCAATAAAGAGATTGGGAATTATTTTCATGCTTTGTCCCTGTCTTTATTAACTTATTCTTACCAGAAATGGCTTCTTTTTCGATGATTAAATATAAAATGCTCACCACTATCTCATTGGTTTAGTAGCATCATAAGACTTGTGTTTATTAATACAAATTGTTTGTGTATTCAGATGTTACAATGTATACTAGTAAGGACGGATGAAAGTTATTAAGTTAGCGATGAATTTTTGAAATTTTAAAAGGAAACGAAATTATAAAATTTTAGGAGATGAAAATATATTATTAATTAAAAATATAAAGAAAATATTTAAAATATATACTAATTTAAAATTTCCGGGGGAAGATTACCCTCGTATGTCATCCTCAATTAGGGTGAGCAAAACTCGACTCGACTTAAAAAAATTGGTTTTTTCAGCTCAACTCAAATTGACTTCGAGTTGTAATTTCATAAACTCGACTAAAAAAAATTTCAAGTTCAAATCAAGTTGTAAAATACAACTAGAATAATAACTTGAAATTTTTAGTAATTAATAAATTGATTTTCAAGTTTAAGTTGAGTCCTTCAACTCTGTATGATATATGTATATCACATATGAAAAAAAATATAAAGAAATATATATGTATTGTATATGGTTATAAAAAAATCATTTAAATTAGAATCAAATAAGATCATAATATTATAAATATTTACAATTAAATTAAAAAAAAACTCAAAAAATTGACTTGACTCGAATTTTATAAACTTATTTCGACTCGGCAAATCAACTTCGGTTTATAAAATAAGACTCATCAGTTTAAATAACTTAAAATTTTCTGACTTAATTCGACTCGATTAAATGATGACCCATATCTTTCTGTCCATTCTTGTACACGAGCAAAGAGTCATGATTTTTAGAGTGCTTGCGCCTTGCAGAATTTAGGCGTTATTTTGTTAGTTCGGAGGTCTCCACGGAAGTTGCTCTCAATCTGACGTTGGGGGCATCTTACTATTATACCTCACCCTTATCCCATTACATATAGGAAAAAAATGATAAGCTAATTTTTTTTTGTAAAGAACATTACACTATTCCTTTTGGCTGATGATATTAGACACTACTTTAAGTCCAAAACTAATGAGAGTTACTCTTTCCTTAACGGCGAGAATACTAAATTAAAGAGATGGATTATCTATTGCATATAAAAAGTAATTCTATAATTCTATATTGGTTTAAACAGTGGCAAAACACAGTGAAGATTGGGCCACCGTTTCCTTAAAAATTTTAAAAATGATAATTTAGACTCTTATTATTTTTAAAAATTTTCATTTATACACCCACAATTTTTTTTTAAAGTTCATATTAAGCTTTAAAATTTTTGAATGTTCTTAATTAAAACCTTCACATAATTTTTAAAATTTCTCATTAATTTTTTTTGAAAAGAAAATGTAAATTAAACCGTTCAATTTTTTTTTCAAAAATTTAAAATTAGACCTCTAAATTTTTAAAATTTTAAATTAATCCGACCTGCATCCGACCTGAGAACGACCTGAACCCGAATTGAACCGAAAATATGATACTCGAACCCGAACTACATCCGGCTGATATGAACCCGAACCCGAGAGTGACCTAGTAAATAACTGGTATTACCCGACCTATTTTCAACCTGACATGTTATGAACCTGACCTGTAATTGACTCAACCTGTAAATGATCTGACACGTTGTTAAAGTGATTTGATATTATCATGACTTATAAGTAATAAGTTACAATTAATATAATTATGTTATTTTAAATTTATAATAAACTTATGATAACTAAATTTAATTTTTATATTAATTACAATTTTTTATAATTCTTATATTATAAATTTTATTTATAATCACTAAATTAAATTTAAATATTGTCTTATTGAACATGATTTTATTAAATTATATAAATTTAGTTAAAAATTCATAAATCTAATTTACTTTTTAATGTGAAAATGACTAATAATTTAAGTATAACTTAACTTGAAATTTAAAATAAAAGAATTAGTTGAAATGATGAACTTATTAAAGATTTGAAACTTGAATAACATTATAAATACTAAAACAAAAAATTTATAAATGAAGTTAATTTTATTACACTTACAAACACTAAAATTAAAATAAAATCTACTAAAAAAATAAATTTATGTTGGAATAAATGCTCTCAAATCTTATAGTTAAAGTTCTTATAGTTAAGGTTTTACAAGGTTAAAAGCCTAACTATACTACCAGAAATATCATCATCGAGCCTTTATACCTAAATGATGTCAACATGTTTAATTATGGGCAACTTTCTAATTTTAAAAGCCAAAATGCCACCAACATAATTCCACATGAGTAACTATTTAGATAAAAATAAGGTTCAAAAATTGATTTAAGTCAGACCAACAACAATAATTTACAAGGCATTAGTGAGTAATAGACAGTAGCAACCGGCAAGCATCAATGTACCAATTCAACAAACATCATTGCATCAATTCAGCAAGCATCCTGCATTAAGAAAACATACAATCAGTGGTAAAGCCAAAGGGAATTCGATGGCCAACAGTGCCAAACATTTCCGACTTTACGAAACCTTACAATTTGTGCAAGCATTTGTGTTGTGTGCCCTAATAAACTTAACATTAGATATATAATGTCAAAAATGACTATAACATGAAAATGTACAAATGCAACATAAACACACAGATTATCAATCTAATGCGTTCAAGGAATAGTCTGATACTAATAATTAATAATGCCAATTTCGATTCTACACCTACCAAGCATCATTTCATTGACAACAGTTGCCATCAAAACATTTACCAAAACATACTAAGAACAAACGACAATGTCAAAAAATAGTCGGCATTATACTAGAGGATATACATATTATCAGATTTAAGCATGCATACGAAACGTGTGATCCTCAATGCCAGAGGATATATATATCCAATACTCACGGCATGCGTATGAAAAAGTGATAACACATATATCCGATACTCACAGATACAGATCAAACAACAAACTAAGCACCAAATCAGCATTGCAATGAAATAACCAACATAAATTCAACACTCCAAAATGGAAAAAAATGGTCTTAGAAGACTTGTATATATAAAAAGAGACTCAAACATACAATTCTTAAAGGAAGATTACTCAAAACAGACAAATACTAATACAGATAAACTCAAAACAACAACTACTCTCAAAGCTTAAAGCATTAAACCAGTAATGTGACCAAAACAGGAACTGAAAGGAGCATTCTAATCAACAACCAAATCCCAAATCATCATCGCTCTCCTCATCTGGCTCTTCCTGCAGAATAACCAAAAAATATCGCACATTAGAATAATGGTGACAAACGAAATGCATCTGCTTCTTCATTAGTGATTTATAGTCCAACCTTCTTCTTTTCCTCAGCAGGAGGTGGAGCAGCAGCACCGCCTCCACCAGCGGCAGCAACAGGCGCAGCAGCAACCGGAGTACCACCACCACCAACATTGGTTATAAGATTCTCAATGTCACACTTCTCGAAAAGCTTAGCGAACAAACCTGGCCAATAAGATTCAACCGAAATTTGCAGCTTTAACTAAGTTGCAATCTTCTCAGTCTATTAGCAAAAGTTAAAGAAACAACCAACTTCCCAAATCTACGGGTAATTAATTCTTCCAATAACAATAATCAAAATCCCATTAGAAATAAAAATAAACTTTAAACTCTAAATCGGTGAATCATAAAACAAAAATGCATAGAGGATACGGTAATGGGAATGCCATCGTCGTGGAGAATCAAAGCAGCGTAAGAGCAAGCAGTTCACTAACAGAAGACATCGTTTCGCCTGTTACTAAAAAAGCCAGTCCGTATAACGATTAAAAATAACACCCACAACACTATAAATGCAAATAAAAGTCCAGGAAATCTAGGAATGTAAAGTTTACCTGGGAATGCGAAAATTTGAGCAGCCGCAGATCAAATTTGGAAGCAAAGTGTCGTTAGGGTTTCTCTTCGGCTCTGAAAGAGGGATTTCTCCTTTCTACATGGAAAACTCTACTTCGGAAGGACATATATAACACTAATTTCCTGATATCAATTGTTGCTAATACTCGAAGTTTATTAATTGAACAACTAGACAACTAGGCACACGGAAACAACGAAAGAGGGAAAACGAGATAAAAGGGAGAGGTTTTGGATGCTGAGCGGGGAAGAAGAGAGATTGAAAATAAAGGAGGGAGGGTTTGGTCGGGAAAAGGGCGAAAATGGTTACTTTTGGCGCCAGTTTTCAATCTTATCCTTATAAAATTTATATTAATAAATAATTTATAATTAATATTAAAATAATTATATATTATAATTAATATTAACTTATATTAATATAATATAGTTTATAATTTGTAATTAATATTAATATAAACTATATGTTATAAATTATATAGTATAGTTTATAAACTATATACGAATACGGATACGAATACGGATATGGATACGGATACGGATAGGATACGGATACGGATACGGATACGGATACGGATACGGATACGGATACGGATACAAATACAAATACAAATATCAATATAAATACAAATACAAATATCAATATCAATAACAATATCAATATCAATATCGATATCGATATCAATATCAATATAAATATCAATATTCATATCGATATCAATATCAATATTAATATAAATATAAACCCTAAACCATATTACTATATATATATATATATATAAACTATATAATTTATACAATATATATTATTTATAATTATACATAATATATAAATATAAATCGTATAGTTTATATATAATTCATATATAATTTATATATAAACTATGTAGTTTCTATGTAGTATATATAGTTTATATATAATATATATAGTATATAAATATAAACTATAGTATATATATATAGGTCATATGTAAACTATATAGTATATAAATATCAACTATAGTATATATATATATATATAGGTCATATGTAAACTATATAGTATATATATATATATAGTTCATATGTAAACAATAGTTCATATGTAAACTATAGTTAGTATATAAACTATATAGTTTATATGTAAAATATAGTTCATATATAAATATCAACTTTAGTATATATATAGTTCATATGTAAACTATATAGTTTATATATATGTTCATATGCAAATTATAGTTCATATATAATATATAAATATAAACTATACTTTATATAAATAGTATATAAATATAAATTATAGTATGTAGTTTATATAAATATACACCATAAACCCTAAACCCTAATACTTAAACCATAATATTAAAACCCTAAACCCTAAACCATATATACTATATATATAAACTATATAGTTTATATTAATAAACTATATAATTTATACAATATATATTATTTATAATTATATATAATATATAAATATAAATTGTATAGTTTATATATAATTCATATATAATTTATATATAAACTATGTAGGTTCTATATAGTTCAATAGTTCTTATATAAACTATATAGTATTATAGTTTATACATGGTATATATAGTTTATACATAATATATATAAACTATATAGTTTATATATAATACATATACTTTATATATAAACTATATAGTTTTATATATATATTATATATATTAGTTGTTTTAATTTTTTTTTCTCAACTTTTAAATGAATGCAATTTAGTCCATTTACAATATTTTTCATATTTGATCCCTTTTGTGTTGTTTAATTTATTTAAATTTTTATTTATAATTTCATATTTGTTCAATTTAGTCCTCCACATTTTATTTGCATCTGAAATTAACCCATACTTATTACTTATTTCTATTTATTAATTGGCCCATAACTTTTTAAATGAGTATAATTTAGTACATTTTTGTATTAATTTCTACCTCAAAATTTAAAATTATTTCAATTTGATCCCTTTTGTGTTGTTTAGTTTATTTAAATTTGTATTTGTAATTTTATATTTGTTCAATTTAGTCCTCCAAATTTTATTTGCATCTGAAATTGACACATACTTATTACTTATTTCTATTTTTAAATTGGCCATAACTTTTTAAATGGGTATAATTTAGTATTTTTTTGTATTAATTTCAACATCACAATTTAAAATTATTTCGATTTGATCCCTCATTAATGTGTGTTGTTTAATTAATTTAAATTTTTATTTGTAATTTCATATTTGTTCAATTTAGTCCTCCAAATTTTATTTGCATATGAGATTGATCCATACTTTTTACTTAATTCTATTTTTTTAATTGGCCCATAACTTTTTAAATGGGTATAATTTAGCACTTTTTTGTATTAATTTCAACATCACAATTTAAAATTATTCGATTTGATCCCTCATCAATGTGTGTTGTTTAATTTATTTAAATTTTTATTTGCAATCTCATATTTGTTCAATTTAATTCTTAAATTTGTATTTTTCATAAAATTGAACAATGATTATTTATATTCTTAGTAATTTACTCTAAATCATATATAATTACAAATTGCAATTCAACGTTCGCGAAAGACGAAAATAATTAATCAAAAAATAAAAATTAACCCGATTTGAACTCAATCTGTATCTGATAGAAATCCGACCTGAATTTTATCTGCCAATGATGTGACCCGATCTGAACGAGATCCGCCTGAAGTATATCTGAACCTGAATTAACCTGCTTTTTAACTGCTTCGGACCTGAACTGGCAACGATCCGAACTGAAAATGACCTGACCTGAACCCGATCTGGATCTGGTGTCAAATCAACCTGAAAATAACCGGAACTGATTTGCCCTGACCTAAACCCGATCTGGATCTGGTGTCAAATTTACCTGACTTGACCTGTATCCGATTTTACCCGACCTACCAGGATCCGACTGAAACCTGAACGATTACCCGATTTTACAACCCTAGTGTTTATGTATCTACTTTATTTATCTTTCGTACTTGTTGCAACAACAATAATAAAGAAGTTATCAATTAAATGTAATTTAGGAGTCTCAAATATAAATGTAAAAAGTGAAATTAAAAATATTAGGAGCCTCAATTATAAAGATAAAAAATATGATTAAAAAAACTAAGGACTTCACTTATAAAGATAAAAAATGAGATTAAAAAAATATGAACTCGATTGTAAAAATAAAATGTGTGATTACAGAAATTATGGGTGTCAATTTTAAAAGTAAAAATATGATTAAGAAAATTAGAGGTTTGAGCAATCTTTCATGGTGCTCTTATTAGTCGGCTTTGGACTTCCATAACCTTATCTTGGAATATAATAACAGAAACGAACATAAAATTTTATGTTATGAGACCACTAAAATTTTAAGAGGACCAAAAAAAATTAAATAAAAATACGTAAAAGTTAAAATGTATAATAATTTTAAATTTTTAAAAAACGAATGTTCCACCATTCGATCTTGGTCCATCCCTACGTGGCAGCATTGGAGCGCTGCAGACGAGACCAACCAAATTTTCGGCGGATCCTCTTATGATCCTTGGGCATAAGACAGGCATGCCTATTCCCCTCGCCTGTCTCCTACCAACACTATTATATATATATATATATATATATTACTTTTTTAATTATTTTCTTTTGAATTTTTAATAAAAACAATTCTTATCTAAACTAAATAATTTAATTTTCTGAAAAATAATACCTCACTTCAACATCTCGATACCCAAAAAATTGTGAAAAATAAATTCTTTATAATTTTATATAAAAAGTTAGTAAAATAAATTTAACACCACCACCATTTTAATTTTTAAAACCGTAAATTAAACTTTTTAATTCTCTGAAGTAAATCATTACACTTTTTAGTACACTCTATTAAACAAATAAAAAAATTCTTTGCTTATAATTACTCTAAGTATTTAAAAAAATGTATTATTTAATTTTGATTAGCGTACAAACATTATTCACCCACTAGGGATGAAAATCTCTTACCCCATAAATTTATATTCATCCTTATTCATGGCGTATCTAAGCCTAGGCCTTCGGACCCAACCATGCTAACAAAGGTAAATAACTTATTTAGTCATCCACTTATTATTTAATTTCTGTTTTAGTCATCCACTTATTATTTAATTTAAAACAAACTTAATGTTATATTTTGGTTCTGTTTTGGTCACTCATCTTTAAAAAAAATTAGCGGTAATATTGACGTATCATCATAAGATAATATCACGCCAGCATTGAAAAAAATTTAAAAAATATCATGTTAACATCATTATTATTTTTTCAACGATAAGTGATCAAAACAAAACCAAAAACATAAGCTTATGTATACTTTTAAAAAAATAATAGTTGAATGATAAAAACATAAATTAAGTAATATACAGATGACCAACTAGCTAATTTACCCTAAATAAAAAATATGTATGAATTATGTTCAGAAATTATATTGGTCCAATTAATCTAAATTTTTAAATTAAAAAATATATATGAATTATTTTTAGATAAAAATTTTATTATATTTATAGGTCTAGTAAATCTGTGACATATGTTCTTTGCTTGCAATATTCCTCGTATTTGGAGATCTTAATGCCCTTTCATCTTCATTTTCTGCAAACAGTTCAGGCCACAATACTATCAAGGGAGAAAACACGGTT